AACTCTTCATGTATTTAGATCTTAAGCACATTATACATGTATAGATGCTCTCCTTTGAGCTTGAGAGGAGTGCCCCAATGCTCTCCAAGTTCTTAGACTTTTTGCACAAAACTGAACAAGACTTGCTTCATGGCTTTAGTTCGTGCTCTTCTCATTGGACCTCTAATATATTGTAATGGGTCTTTAGGTACTTGGATTGGAAGTATTAGGCTCCTTGCTCCTTGCCTTGGGCTCTTTCCATGTCACTATGCTCATGATTACCATCATCAAACTTCATTGCCATTAATGCCATGTGATTTGTGCCATGGGGTCCATCAACTAATCTATTTAAGCTTAATTAATCTGAATTTAAAATTGAAAATGTTACATTCTATCACATGATTATTATTATTATGGTCGAGGCTATAGTTGCCATATGTGCATGATAACTATGTTTATTTTCATTTGCATCCATTTTTAATTGATATGTAACTGTATAGGTTAGGTTGACCTTAGTTACTAAGTGATTGTATTCACCCCTCATTCTTCAATATTTTCAGGGCTTAGCTCATCGAATCCAAATCAGGGAAAATGTGCTAATGCTTAGGATTGTGGTGTAAATCCTACTTGCAAGCCTCCTTGTTTTGATTATGTGTATTTAATGTTGTTAATTTGTTAACTAGGACTCATAACATTGTTTTAATCTACTTGCATTACTATTGTGAAAATTATGTGTATTTTGTGTACTGAGTTAGTGAGTTATGGTTATACAACTAGCATGGGACTGAAATACTTGTTCAAGTAGTATAAAGTGTATTTTGGAATGTTTTGGATGAACATTGATGATTTATGCAAATTTCCTCCCCATTGTGTTTTTATTAATTGAGGGGTTGAGGGTTGAAATTATCACATGTGTGTATTTAAATGGTTATGGCATGTTATATGAATCCTAAATGGTTCATTGAGTGTGATTTAAGGGTTGATGTAGGCTTTTGGCACATTTATTAGAGTTTGGATACCCTAGTTGTGAGTTTTTTGTGAAAATAGGTTTGGATGTCCAACTTTAGATAGAAAATAAATTTGGTTGTAAAACTTATGCTATTAGCTAGAGCTAGGAGTAAGCGCTCTGTAAACTCCTAGATCATCTCAATCTAATATCAGATGAAAAAAATGAGATGCGTCAAAATTTTGTCCCCTATGTTGTCAATTTCACAACAAAATGTTGTCAACCTCATGCAAGGTGCCTCACACTGTGGCGCATGTCACAAAAGCAACATGCCACACAGTACACCTACAGTTAGCTACAGTGCATGCGCCATTTTCTACCTAGTTTATTGTTTTGAGATTTTATTCAAATGTTTTGATTCTCTCTTGATTCCCATGTTTTTGTAAATGTTTTAAACTCTAATTTGGGATTATTCAAAGTATATGGGAATATTTTTAAATATTAAAATCTTGGAATCCCATTTGTAAATTGTTTCAATTTGTTTATCTCATTTGTGCAAATTGTGAAAACTTGATAATTCTCATTAGATTTAGATCCTTAATTTCCTTGGCTTTTGGAATTATTGGTGATTTGATTAGAGAGATTACACACCTAATACCCTAAACTATTTGGTATAGCATTTTTGCTCCTAAAATAATTAAAACATAACATTTTTTTACCTCTAACATTAAATAATAGATGTTGACTGTTAATATGATGTAAGAGAATGTAATTTGACTCTCTAATAGACGTTTGTGATTATTTAACATTAGAGTATTGAATGCTAGACTTTAATTACTTTAGGGATGAAAATGCTACACAAAATAGTTTGGGGAGTTGGGTGCTCCTCATAAAATATTTCAGAGCAAAAAATGCACCTTTACCTTACAAAAAACACTTAATATATGCATACAGGAGAATTTAGGTTCCCAATTCTCCTATCCCTTTGAGTCAGTCAAAAGGGATGCCTATAGACAAAATTCAATTTTGATCTCCAAATGCTCTAAGAGCTTAAAAGAATTTAGTTTACAATTAAATAACTTAAAATTATCAATTCATAGCCCCAAAAAACAAAACCATTTTCCTAACTACCAATTTTTACTCAAATATCCTAAAATTTAATTTATCAAATAATCTTGTTGTCTAATAGTTCCATTAGCTTTATTAGACTTTACTAAGTCTAATTAAACTGATTAACTACTAATATAATTCTCACATTACCCATTTCCAACTTTGAGTTTTCTTAAATCAACAAAAATAGATAAAATAACCAAATAATTCATACCAACTGCTCTGGCAACAATATTGTTAAACTACACAAATATATTAGCCAAGACTTCCCTTATAGTCAAAATAAACAGAAATTCAAAATTATGAAAATATAAAATTTTTACTGTTAAGAATTTGAAAATAAAGTGAAAAAATATAATTAAAAAATATTTAAAAAAATTTATCTAGTCTTATAAAAATTTTAAACTACACTAAAAGTATCATATAATATAATCTATAATATAATCTAATCTTTGGAATTCCCCTTCTCCAGACCGATGCTCCACGGACGCTCTGTTCTTTACTCTTCTTTCGTCGCACTGAAATGTTGGTGGAGAAGAGAAGTCTAATCAAGTGGGCCGTGGCCCAAACAAAAATAAGCCCACCCATTTTTTTAATTTTTTCCTTGCTTTGTTTTAATATAATTTTTTTAAAACCCATTTGTTTTATTTTTTTTCCTTCTTCTTCCTCTTAAATTTTATCCTATATGTATGTGTGTGTGTGTGTTAGACTCTCTAAAATTTAAAGGATTAAGTTTAGGTGTTTTGTTCAAATGAAATCTTCATAATATCAAGATATTTACAGTATGTTAAGTTAGAAAAATATCTTCAATGATTTAATTTAATTTCACCCAATTTGATTTATTTATAAAAATGTAATTTAAAATAAAGTCCTCATAATGTAATCCTACAATAATCCCAATCAATTCCTAGATTATTTAAATGTCTCAATTTAAATTTTTGGAATGTTACAAAACATAATTATCGATCCCTATAATTTCATTAGGTTTTGTTTTTAGTTTTTATAATTTTTTCTCAATGTTTTTAGTTCTTGTAGTTTTAGCAAGATTGGTAATATTTGTTACTGAGTTTCAACAAGATTGGGTAACATTCGTTACTTAAGTTTTTATAGTTTCAATGTTTTTAGTCTTTTTAGTTCTTGTAAAAATTGAAAATATTGAAAAAAAAATTATATGGACCAAAAAAAATTTTGATAAAATTATAGAGACTAATAATTATATTTTTTTAATATTTTTAAAATAACTCTCAAGTAGCTTTTAAATAACCTTGATTAGGTTTACCTTGAGAGATAATTAATTTTCTTGAACTTTTTTTAATTTGTCCAATTATAAATGCTCAAGTTGAATTTGAGGGATTTGATATTCTTATGTAATTCTTTAAATGATTTGGTAAAAATACTTGAGGTTTTCATATATTTTTATTTTACTTTCGTTGGTTTCATAATTTATTTTATAATTTTTAATTAATATTATTAAGTAGTATTTCATGTAGAGATTATACTTAATTGTTTAGAAACAACAAGATATAGAATTTTAGAAAGGAAACCTTTCCTCTTGCTCATTAGTAAAATTATAAATAAAAAATAATTGATAAGTAGTAGCATTTCATGAAGGAAATGCCGCCTAATGTTTTTCAGCTTCATTTTAGTAGCATTTCTGTTACAAAATGTATCATGCTAAATTTCATTTATGTATAGCAGTGATTATCTCTCATAATTAATTTATTTAAATAGGGATAATATGAAAAAAATTATATTATCAAATATTTTACATTAAGGATTAAAAAATCTTTGTACAAGTTTCTCTAGAATAGGTACCAGAGGCACTATGAAGTTTGTTAATTTTTCCCTATAATTAATATGAGAGGAAATATTCTATAGTACATATAATAACTATTACTCCCTCTGAGTCAAACTATAAGCATTTCCTTTTAACTAACTTTAGTTCAAAATATAAACAACATAGTACATGTGAAATTTTTTTTACCATTTTATCTCTTATATTTATTAACTTAAATATTTATAAATGTATCTCTTACTTGCGTTTTGATAATTTGATCTATGAGTAAAATAACAAATAATATATAATTTTATGAACATAGAGGCTTTGTTGGTATACGAGCTTTTGCTTAAAACTACTTCGATTTTGAAGCGGACGGAGTGGTTATTAACCATGAATTCATGATGTGTTAGTTAAGTCCTGAATCCTGATGGATGGAGGTCGGAACTCGGAAGTTTCTTCTATTCAAAGCAGGCGGCTAGCAAGAAGCAGTGGACTTTCGTGGTTGACTTTTCTTGATGAATTATATATGTCAGTCATGGTTGGATAAAATGACTAGTCAATGTGTAATTTGAATTATCCTTCCCCGTTCTCACATTATATATGGTATTCTTAATTGAATATTATATATCAATGCAAAATTATTATTTAGCTAAAGTTATATAAAATCATAGTAGTTTTTAAATTTTGTTTTTAATAATGTTACAATTAATACTATGATAGTCATAGGTACAATATACAATTAATATCTCCTACATTTTTTAAGATTAGAGCAAAATTATTTAATTATTTAAAAATATCAGAATATCTATATATTTAAAGACAAAATAAATTTCTAAAAAAGATCTATATAGGGATGGAGGAGTATGTCTTTTGAATTAAGATTCAATCATAATTAAATTATATTAATTTCATACTAGGAGCTTTGGATAAAATACTTTTTAGATTCAATTAATGTGGCCGTTTCCTTCCTGATCAAAGATTAATTTATCCTGGCATTAAAGATGTCGACAACTTTATGCTCATCATTGGTCAAAGAAAATTTTATCACGTTCCTCAAAATGTCCACATTATCATCTCTTGCACAAGTCAGATGCTACGTCAGGCCTAATTCCGCCTTAACCGTTATTACTATCCTTGTCCTTGGTAACATATATATATATATATATATAGACCCACGCACCAACAAACACCAGAAACCAATCCATTGATCACAGAAACAAACTTCATTCATTACCAGAATCTCCTTAGAATTCTACACTAGAATACTTCATCCTTCAAAATATATTCATTCTTTTCTCTACTTTCTCTACAGATCAGAGACGACGATGAGCAAGATCCCTCATTTTCTTGTGATTCCTTTCCCAGTTCTGGGACATGTGAATCCTTTGATGCAGTTCTCTGAGGTTTTAGCCAAACATGGCTGCAAGGTCACTTTTCTCAACACAGAGTTCAGTCAAAAGCGAGTCATGGCTGCAGCAGCAAGTTCTTCCCACCACCATCAACACAGTAAAAATAATAGTCTGATTAAGACGGTGACGCTGCCAGATGGTTTGAGTGAAGATGATGACAGGAGTAAGCCAATAGAGTTTATTCAATCAGTGAAGAGCACCATGCCTGGGAAGCTTCCAAAGCTCATTGAAGATGTGAATAATGGCGAAGGTCAGGATAGTAAAATCTCATGCATTGTGGTTAGTATGAACATGGGAGGGGCTTTAGAAGTGGCTCAGAAACTGGGAATCAAAGGTGCTGTGTTGTTTCCTGCATCTGCTACTTCCATGGCCTCCGTTGCCTGCGTCCAAAGGCTGATCGATGATGGAATCATTGATCCCGAAACTGGTAAGAGTTCATTCTTAATATGTGTTGATTTTCTCATACATATATACCTATAACTTCATCAAGTAGTTTCCCGCCCCAATCAAAAGTATATAAGTTAGCATCATCAAGGAAGTTTTGTGTTGCAGACTTGAGAAGGAAAAACTATATATAGCATCGAGAAATATAGCTTGTCTTTTAATTAGAGCAGTGATGCTTTGGTTTCTTTATAGTCACAAAACATCAATGTAAGGAAGGATTGAAACGACCTTACATTGCATTATGATCTAACAGAAAAAGACGCGGAATATGTAATCTCTGTAATGCATGCATGTATTGTATACTTAGCATGCATATGCATATTGTTGATCTTTTTTAACTTGATATGCTTTGAAATGTTCTAAAATCTAAATCAACTTGATAGCTAATAACAAACTTCAGTGGCGTGAATATAGGTAAATATTGACATCATTTGAGTCAATTTTAAGTGTTTTCATTGATAACTTGTTACAAATTAAATATCTTATTTTATATGTCTAGTGTACGTCTTATCCACGTACTGTAGTTTTAAGAAATGAACCAGGCTCTTCCTAATAGTATGATTTGTTAGATTCCTTATTATGTATAAATATATAGATCAACACATAAATCTAAGTAATTGTATTTGTTCATTGGGCAATTCATGCAGGTCTTCCGATCAAGAACGAGGAAATTCAACTTTCCCCAGACATGCCTCTTATGGACCCAGCAAAGTTTGCATGGACAACCCTTGGTAAGTCCTTCTTCGGCCCCATGTTACAAGAGGCACAAACCTTAATAAGCTTAGGACAATGGTGGCTCTGCAACACTACCTACGAGCTTGAACCTGGTGCACTTTCAATATCACCAAAATTCCTACCAATTGGCCCCTTATTACCTGATGAGCAAAACTCAAGTTCTTCATTCTGGCAAGAAGATCAAACCTGCCTCGATTGGCTCGACCAGCAACCACCTCGATCAGTCATTTACGTTTCGTTTGGAAGTTTAGCAGTAATGGACCCGAGCCAGTTCAAAGAACTCGCACTCGGACTCGATCTTTTAGACAGGCCTTTTCTTTGGGTCGTGCGTCCTAGCAACACTAACAAGCCTAATGGTAGCTATGTGTTCCCAGAAGGGTTCAAAGGTGAGAAGGGTAAAATAATCAATTGGGCTCCACAAAAGAAGGTTCTGAATCACCCTTCTGTGGCTTGTTTTGTTAGCCACTGTGGCTGGAATTCTACTATGGATGGTGTGTGCAGTGGTGTGCCATTCTTGTGCTGGCCATTCTTTAGTGATCAATTTGAAGATAAAGAGTATGTTTGTAATGTGTGGAAGATTGGTTTGGGGTTTGAGAAGGATGAGAATGGGGTGATAACCAGGGAAGAGATAAAAGAGAAGGTTGAGAAGTTGATTGGGGATGAAGAAATTAGAGAGAGGTCTTTGAAATGGAAGAAGATGGTCATGGATAATGTTGCCGAAGGTGGCCGATCTTCAGACAATCTCAAGAAGTTTATCAACTGGACCAAGGAATAATGAGGATGTGTGTGTGTTATGCAAGAATTTCTCATAAATATTGAGGGTTTAGGAGTTGGAAAAGCACTTGTTTGGTTTTTTAATTTAGAATCTTTTGATTAATAAAAATTAGTAAATGATTGAGCATGATAGCGTCATACAATTTATGTAACTTACCACACCTCATGGGATAAAACTTATTATTGTTGTAATCTTTTGATTAATAAATTTTTTAATGCATATAGACAATCTTGAATAATAAATCTTGTTTGGTCTTTATTTTGTATTTGTCTAATGACCTTTTTTACAGTCAAATAATTTTCAGACATTACTTTTTTAAATATAGGACAAATTATAATAACAAGAACACAAGTACAAATAATAAATTTACAACTAAAAGCATGATATTAAAATTAGGCATTATAGGTAGAGTCATTAATAAGGGATGAGTCCTTTAAACTACTTGTTTATAGAATCTACGCATTCACATTACCGTTGACATTCCAACTCTATAATAACTCTGTAATTCAACTTAGCAATCTCTGGGAGTCAAATGGTACGTATTAAGCTACAATTTAATCATGAACATCAACATCACAAAACCTAGACATCCACATTTAGTATATTACAACACAACAATTAATCCATGCTAATATTACTAACTTGAATATAAACTCTCATGAGCTTGGTTCACAAAAGGGCTAGGTAGTCAACAATCCAAATCACAAATTTAATTCACAAACATTAATGCAATATATGTCTCTCAATTGGCAATAAACTATATATATTCTGCAACATAAAATAGAAGGCTATATAAGACACAGTATAGCTTTGAGCCTCTAGATTCTTCCCTTTGCTACTCCTCAAAGAGTCCCTTGTAAATATTAATGACAGGGTGAGATAAATATTTCAATAACTAAAAAATCCTAACTTCTAACATCAAAGACATAAGTATTATATTAAGTGCATGTAAAGCAAGTAAATTATAATGTTAAATCATAATAAAACATTTAAGTATACATAATTAATTTCTCCCTTATCTTCTCTTTATTCCTTCTAATTGAGTCCATAGGCCATAATTCATAACAGGATCAATTCGTGTGATCGGACTAGTCTAAGCTCTTCAGTGTTAAAGAGATAAAGTGGCCAAAGGTTAGGGCTCTCTAACTTAGACCATGTACCCCTGCTAATTGAATTCCTGCAGGGTGTCATAATTATTGCTAATAACACAGGCTCAGTTTCAAATTGAGTATTTAGCTAAGCCAAAACTACACTAAACTTCCATCGTAGCTAGTGCTACAACTATCCAATATTGAGAGCTATCCAAGTATTGTCCTTACTACGTGAACTTACAATATGATAATCTCCCAACTATGACAAATTCAAACCAATTCTTTTCTCAATCAATCCATAATGTATTACAATTTCAATCACACATTCTAATGCAATTCCATCTGTATGTCAAGTAATCACAATTTATAACCAACATGTTCAATTTCATCCACATATGTATACTTCAAAATTATTATTCAAAAGTTCTCAATCATTCTCATAATTCGCAATAAAATAGAGCTTACTTGATTCATCCACATTTTTCAACAAATTAACTTATATTCACTTTACACATTTTTAAAACATCAAAATTGCATTTACACATATATCATACATTTCATACTTTTTATAATATCAAAAAATGCATAAGAGGAAATTTAGGTTTTCAATAATTTCCACCCCTTAAGTCACTCAAAAGAGGTACCTATAGACATAATCCAATTTTGAGCTCTGAAATGCTTCTAGAGTTTAAGAGAGTTTAGTTTATAATTAGATAACTCAAAATTATTAATTCATAGCAAAAAGCATCATTTTTTTAACTACACATTTTTACTCAAAAATCCCAAAATTTAATTTATTAAATAACCTTACTATCTAATGGTTTCATTAGACTCTAATAATGACTAACATAATCCTCACATTACCCATTACTAACCTATGATTTGCTCAAATCAACAAAATTGGATAAAATATCCAAATAATTCATACCCACTGTTCCAACAACAATGATTTACTTCCAACAATTCAATTTCGCCCATTTATATCAGCCAAAACTTCCTCTATAGTTAAAATAATCATAAATTCGAAATTAAAGAAAATCTCAAATCTTTCACTGTCAAGAACTTGAAAATAAGATGGAGAAATATACTCAAAAAAATATTTAAATTTTTTTCCTAGTCTTAACAAATTTTAAATTACACTAAGTGTAGTGTGCCTAATCTTTGGAGTTCCCCTCCTCTTGACCGACGCTTCGCGAATGCTTTACTCTTTGCTCTTCTCCCGCCTAACTGAAACGTTTGGCAGAAAAAGAAGTCTTGGGCAAGCCTTGAATGGGCCGTAGCCCATGAAAACAACAAAAGCCACCACCCATTCTCTCTCTCCGCTTTTGTTTTCATATGTTTTTTTGTAAAGCCCATTTGTTTTTTTTTTCTCCCTTCTTCTTCTTAAGGTGTGTTTTGTTCTTAAGGTGTGTTTTGTTCAAAGAGAGGTGAGGGGAGATGAGAAGAGAGGAGGGAAGAGAGGGGGAGGGGGAAGGGGAGGGGAGGAAAAAAATCCCCTCCTCCTAACCAAAGGAGGGGAGGGGAGGGGAGGGGCTACCCTCCTCCTAACTAAATGAGGGGAGAGGAGGGGAGCCCCTCTCCTTCCCTCCCTTCCCCCCCAACCAAACACACTTTTACATTTTTTTTTTGGATATACTTGTTCTTCTTAAATTTTAATGTGCGTGTATATTTTAAACTCTCCAGAATTTGAAAGATTGGGTTAAGTTTAAGTGTTTTGTTCAAATTATAAATGCTCAAATTGAATTTGAGGGATTTGATATTTTTATATAATTTCTTAAACGATTTGGTAAAAATACTTGAGGTTTCTACATGTTTTTATTTTATTGTTGTTGGTTTCTTAATTTATTTTATAATTTTTAATTAATATTACTAAGTAGTGTTTCATGTGGAAATTCTACTTCATCGTTCAAAATCAGGAAGATGTTGTATTTTAGGAAGGAAACGTCACCTTTTGTTCATTTACTCAAATTATAAATAAACAATAATTGATAAACGGCAGTATTTTATGAAGGAAACACTGCCTAATGTTTTTCAGCCTCATTTTAGTAGCATTTATTTTTTAATTGCTATAAAATATACTTTTTTTATTTAAAAATGTAAGGCATTTTTAACCAAATCTCACTCCCAATAAAATAGTTACATATTTTCATGCTAACCCTATTTTTTTATATTTACTCTTATTTAGCACCCTACAATAAATATAAAATTATTCATCAATAGTGACACTTTTGAAAAAAAAAAGCAACAATTATACTTCAAAAGATTAAAAATGTCTTATATTTTTTAACATTCAATTTCTCAAAAAATGTCTTACATTTTTGAACGGACGGAATATACTATTAAATCTCATTTTGGTATGGTAATGATTCTCCTTCATAATTAATGTATTTAAATAAAAGTGATATTGAAAAAAATATAATTAGTATATTGTCAAGCATTTTATATTAAATATTAAAGAATTTTTTTAGAAGGCTTTTTATAATAAGTACCAGAGGTATTATGAAGTTTGTTAATTTCGCCCTAATAATTAAGACGGGAGGGAATATTCTGGAGTGTATATAATAATTATTAATTGTTAATGATGACTTCATGATATTTGGGTTAGTCCTGATGGGGGCAGGAACTCGGAAGTTTCTTCTACTCAAAGCTGGCGGGTAGCAAGAAGCAATGGACTTTCTTCGTTAACTTTTCTTGATGACTTAGACATCTCAGTCATGGTTGGATCCAACGACAGGTTCAAGCTCGATGCTCATCACATCGTGCTCAGGCGTGTTTGGATTTTAATTAAAAAAAATTAATTATTAAAATGTCATGATGTTTGGATAAAATTTTAAAAATTAATTATGATATTGATTTTTTAAAATGAAACAAATTTTAACTTATTTCAAATGAAGTTTTGAAAACCAAATGGAGTTTGAAAAAATTGAGGTGTTTGGATAAAATTTTTTAAAATTATAGTTTTAAAACTAAAATTGATTCTAAAAGGATATCTAAACAAGCCTCTCATCTCTGAAACGTTTGGAAGAAAAATTTGTACTGTCCAAATTTATAAATTTTATTTTTTATTTTATATTTATTATAAAAAATTATAAAATTTTAATAAATTTAATTTATTATCAATTTGAATAATATATATTAAATCTAATTAATCTAATTCAATATTAATTTTTTAAAATTTTTATAAATTGATTATTTAGATGTGCTATTGGATTCAAAGCACATTTAAATAGTCAAGTTATAAAAATTTTTAAAAAATTAATATTAAATTAAAGCATCCAAATTAATTTATTATAAAGTTGATTTGTTCAGATTGATAATAAAGTAGATATATTAAAATTTTATATTTTTTGTTTTAATATACATAAAATAAAATATAAATAAAACTGATAAATTTGGATGGTCTAAATTGCTCATTAGGTGATGAGCACCATAATGAACACTAAAGCTGAATGCTCGAATGACTAATCATTTATAAAATAAATTATATTCCCCCGTCCTTTTATATATAAAATATTTTTAATTAAATCTTGCATGTTAATAAAATTTATTATTTAATTGAAATTATATAAAATCATAATGGTTTTTTAGTTTTGCCCATAATAATGTCATAATTAATATCATGAGGGTAGTAGGCACAATACACAATTAGTGTGTTCTGCATTTTTCAAGATAAGAAAAATTATAAAAGTATTCAAAAATATCATGACACTTCTTATTTTTAAGAATAAAATAATTTTTTTAAAAATATCAAATATATGGATACTGAGAGAGTATGCCTTTAGAATTAAGATCCAATCATAATTAAATTATATTAATTTCATACTAGGAGCTTTGGATAAAATACTCTTAGATTCAATTAATGTAATCATTTCCTTTTAGATCCAAGATGAAGGGTTTGTTTGAAACTGTTTTTATTTTATTATTCTGAAAATTAATGTTTTGTAAAACATGTTTTGAAAATTAAAAAAATAAAAATGGTTGTTTTTTCTCATTCTTTCTTGTTTTTTTTGAACAATAATCTTAAAACATTTAAAAGATATTTCTTTTTTTTATTTTTTAAACAAGTTTTTATATTTTTTTCTCTGAAGAAAAAAAATACTGTTTTCAAAATAAATTGGCAAACAAGCCCTAATTTATCCTAGCATCAAAGAACAGACAAATCCAAGA